TAAGCAGGGCAATCAAGATGAGGCTAGAAACAACACCAGAATGTTTCTTTCCTGCCTTCCTTACAGGATTAGCCCAGTAAAGTGGGGGAAAGGAATGAGATTTCTTCCAACAACCGGTTCTCCCGAATTGGTGCAAACCGGCTGAATCCCACCACTGGTGTGACAGTATAAAGTTGTGGGGCCTGTCCTAGTGAAACAGGGGAAACTTGCGAATTGACAGCTGGACCTTTATTTTTGGAACCACTTTGGAATCCTTAGATCAGTGTTTCTCAACTTTGGCGACTTTAAGTCCTGTGGACTTCAACTCCCAGAATTCCCCAGCCAGCATAGCTGGCTGGGGAATTCTGGGAGTTGAAGTCCACAGGACTTAAAGTCGCCAAGGTTGAGAAACACTGCCTTAGATGTTGAGGTGCGGAGCCCATCTTCAATTACTTTTTAAAAGGCTATAAAAACCCAAGTTTCAAATAGACTTTTCAGTACTGATTTGTTTCTGTGCTTTACATTTTATTTCATGTATTTTGTCTTGGGGACCTCAGTCGTCAGCAACCCAGTAAGTGTACCAAAATAAATAAATAATAAGCGATCATTTAATAAATATACTTCTAAAATAGTTTTTCATGCATGGTTTTTTTGACAATTACTTTTCTTTTTATTATATCATACTTGTATGTTTGGGGGTTTTTTTTTGTAGTTGTAGAGGAGAAATACATTTAAATCCTCAAATCTGCCAATACTTTGTGAAATTCTAGTTTCTGAATTATTGAAGCTGCTACTTTCAACAGATCGTACATAAACCAATATTAACTAAAGCATGTTTAACAAGTCTGCCAAATGCCATATAATGTTCATCCCTCCCTAGTCTCAAATGTCACTATTTTACAGATCACTAGGTACCTTTAAAGGCTGCAAAGATTGATATTTAGTGATGCAAAGAAAAGGTTGGAGTTTATTAATCCCAGTCCTTTAGTTTTAATTTTGCCCCCATCAAGAGCACCACAACATAGACGCTGATTCATCTGTCAACTAATTGAACAGATATAATCTTTTTTCCCCTCTTTTTATTAAGAGCTACATTTTATGTTTCTTAGCACAAAGCTGATATAACTGGTACACGAGCTGAGAAAACAATACTTTCTATAGAGTAGCAATACCTTATATTCATTATTTAAGCATATTGTAAAAGTAGATCAGTGAGGATTATTTGTACAGAGATCAAACCAAGACCTGTGAAGGTATTCCTTAAGTTTCTAAAATAAACCTTCCAGATGATAAAAAAAAAGTTTAATAAAGCCCAAAAATTAATAGAAATTTAAAACTTAAAGAATTTACTAATTATTTTGAGTAACGATCACACTAGCCATATAATTTTCTCTGATTAACCTTTCCTGACATTAATTCAGTTTAAGAATGAGTTCTTAAGACTAATTTCACTAAATATGATTGTCTCTCAAATGATGAGGATTGGGGTTTTAATGATTCTAGAATGGAAAAAAACATTCACTTTACTATACTGTGCCCTAGTCTTTCATATTTAGCAGTTGCAGTACAATGTTTTGCAAGCTACTTTCACCAGGTGAGTGACTTAACAAGTCTTTTCTAGTATGGAAAAGGCCAGTGAATTAATCTTTTAGATCTCCTCCTGACCTCAGTCCCACAGCATCAACTGTACCATATTTAAGAAGGGGTATTATTACATCTTGTTCCTATTCCCCTCTTTGCTCCAAATCTTTGCTCAGCGGATCTGTCTGAAATTTGCTATTGAAATTTCACACTGTAAATGACATCACATTGCAGTATAAAAATACAGCAGCTATTTTTTTAAAAAAGATTTTAAACATGTCGGACTCCCATAAGATTCACTCCTCATAACAATAAACTGCAAGGATTTCTCCAAACAGTCAGTCACCAGTTGAAAGCACCAAAGTAAAAACATTTGAGCACTTTAATAAATCAGATTTTCCCCGCACAATAGGTGTTGGTGTATTTCAGCCACACATCATGTTCTATTTTCAATATGATATAAATTGTAGTTATCAGATAAAAAAGTTGAGCAGGCTAAGTCAAAACAAATTAAACTAACGATTACGGTGAGGACAAAATGAAGATTCATAGAACAAGTCCTTCTTCTTGCCTCCTTTCAGATCTCTATATACTACTAGGTTGTTGTTGTTGTTGTTGTTGTTGTTGTTTTGCAGAGTAATTAGTTCTTTGTCTCCTTTTCAGATTTAGTTCCATTTGCATTCCTGCTATATTTAGAAATGGTCTCTGCTTCTTGGGACACTCTATCTCTCACCAAAGCACATTGCCTGAATGGTACCATCTCTCAAGTCTGAAGAAGTCTTATTTCGACATATACTCATATCTCAAGTGGTGGTAGTGGGAATAGAAGGAAAGGAAAGGAAGCCGGTTCTGAGGAAGAAGCTGGGAGCTGTCTGAAAATCAACTTTTGGGGAAGAGATGGAGAGAGCCAAAGAAGAAAGGAATGACTGTTGAATCCACAGCAGGGCAATCGGCCCTCCTCCGTTAGCAAATAGACAAGTTTTGAGTAAGCAGTGGAAGAGGGAAGAGCCAAATCGTTATGCAAAGAATGCCAGAGCCATTCTTTGCATAACGATAACAATGCGGACTATATGGAGTATGACAGGAGGAGGTCAAAGAGAGGATTCGGGGTCTGGACAGCCAGAAAAGGGGAGACTGAAGACTTGCCCATTCAGGTGGGAGAGAACACTTGCTACCCGAGAACTCTTCCTAGACAAAGTTGTGTGAGGGCACTTGCAAGTGGGTGAGATGGAGGGTTGGTTTGGTTTAGTATATGCTGTCCTTTAAAAATGTATAGCACCTCAGTGGCTCAGTGTTTAATTGCCCCTGTTTTGTTATATTAATCATCTGCTGTTTCTTAATGATACGAGTAATTAAAAGCTATAAAATATTCATAATTAGAGGAGGTAGGGAAATAGCCCCTTATTGCTCCCCTGTTGGTGGAAGATATGGCAGCAAACCTGAAGAGAATATGGGAAGTAAAAGGGATTCCTTTTTAGAGAAGAGCTGAGGGAGTCAGGCTCAGAACCATGGACAGATCCCGTGTTTCTTTTGAGAGTTAAACTAGGGTACTATGGCTATAGTTAATACAATTGAATGAAAAGGGATTCGGTTGGACCACTTTAAATTACAGCCTCTGTGTTGGATTTTGCTGTATGGCATATTCAGGAAAATCAAATGAGTATATTACTTTGCAGCAAATAAAAAATTACATCAGTGGCATATTAAGAATAGCCTTCTGTTGAACTTTCCCTAAACACAATCCATTTCAACAAAATTGGTCTTACGGCATTTGAGCTCAAAACGTTGAGCTAAAATTAAACACGAAAACCTTCATTCCTATATATCAATTGCCCTCCTTCAACCCAACCTACTCACATGGTTGCTGTTGTGAGGAAAATAGGAGGAGGAGGAAGTACTAAGTAAGTTTGCCAACTTGAATTACTTATAAAGTTATAAAGGTGGGATACAAATTTAATGAATAAATTATAATGAATAGAAAAACAGATTGCAATTATATGCTCTTTTTTCCCCCCAAACATGTTTCATTAGACGATGTGTGGCTTTCTTCTAAATAGCTATGCATAGTAATATGCACGATTACTATGGTAAAATATTGTACTATGTACTACATTTTAAAATGATTACTTTGTTAAAATTTAGTTGAAACAATTGAAGTCTATTAAAAAGGTTTGGAATTTGTGTATAAATAATTTTTCATTACACAAACTGACCAAAGATCTTGTATGGTGACTGTTCTTGACATTAATTTTTAGTCAAGAGCATTGCCATGTTTTATCTTACAAAGAAATTCCTAGATTCTTGTGTAGTTGCACATAATTCCTATCAGAGCCAACTTACCGAAACTTGTGTTTCGAAATGAATGTCTGTTTTGTGCATCTCCACAGCTTTCAGATCTTCCTCAGTGACAATTGGAGTGTATGTCCTTTTGGTATGAGAGCGACATCTAAGCTGAAAATTGGGAACAAAATGGAAATAATTATTGCTCTCAATTGCTTGAAGGCAGCTCTGAAATCTGTGCTGAACTTCATATGTATGGACCTTCACTAGGTTTTAGGACCTAAAAGATTCAACTGAATGAATTCCTAGTTAAATTTTAGGATGTCTTTCACTCTCGAGCTGTTATTGTAGTCATCACATGGTCACCACATTGCAAAAAAGATGTTGAGACTTTGGTAAAAGTGCGAAGAAGATCAATTAAGATGATTAAGGGCCTGGAGATAAAAATATATGAAGAGTGGTTGTAAGGTATGGCTAGTGGAGAGAAAAGAAGGACTGGGGTGACCTAATAGCAGTATTCCAGTATTAGTCCCTTAAATAAAGGGGCTGCCACAAAGAAGAGGGGGTCAACTTATTTTTCAAAGCACCAGAAGGTAAGACAAGAAATAATGGATGGAAAATACTCAAGGAGACAAGCATCCTGGAATTAAGGATAAACTTCCTAATAATGAGAACAATTAACCTGTGGAACAGCTTGCCTCCAGAAGTTGTGAGTGTTTCATCAGTGGAGGCTTTTAAGAAGAGACTAGACAGTCACTTGTCTCAAATGGTATGGAGTCTCCTGCTTGAGCAAGGGGCTGGACCAGAAGACCTCCAAGGTTCCTTCCAGCTCTATTCTGAGAGATTGATTTCATGTACAACAGCAAAAGGCTTGATGATGGAGTTAGAAAGAACAAAAAAAGTGCTATTTCTTTGTCTTCATCAACAGGATGTTACTTTTCTTCTCAACAAGCCACCATAGCTTTGTACTGGATTAATTTATGCCAAATGTTGGGTTCCAGGATTTTAACAGTTGCCTACTTCTATTATAAGGTATTATTCCTTTCACCTGTCAAATTGAAAATGTTTCTCAAAGCACAGACACAGAGATAAATATTAGTTGCTTGCAACAATCCAGATCAAAGGAGAACAAAATTTTAAATTCACCAGTTTAATCAACCTTAAATCACTTTTTCCACCCCCTCACCCAAAATTCTCATATTGGTTCCCAGAGCGCCCCCCCCCCTCTTTTTTTTGGCAAGAAGAATTGACTTTTGATATCCTCTTTACATTTTGTAGCTCTGGTACATTGGTTAAAAGCAAACTTCATTGTAAAAAAAAATGGTAGAAACTCAGATCTTGTCTTTGTTAATCTGTAGTGAGTTTGTGAGATTGCAGCAATCTCCAGGTACAATCAGCTATCTGATGGAGTCATGTAGTCCCAAGCTTTATGGGGAGGGGGGGTTAAGGGATATGGCAGATGGCAAAACAATAGTCAAGAAGCACCAAAATGAAAGTTTTCCTTAACATAATGCCATTCAAACAAATACGGTCTTTTGATAAAGCCGAACCAATGAAAGTTGCAGTTTCTCATCATTTTTCCCTGAGATATACTTGGTATGATAAATGGAAAGCAATTGTTTTGCTATGGTATGTTATTTGTTAAAAATTCATAATCCTCTTTATTAAATTTAAAAATGAAAAAGACTTTCGTATATGCTTTTTAAAGTTTAAATTTAAATCTCTCAACGCAATTAAAAGAATGAGTAATTATAGACAACTGATAGAATTTACTGGGAAATTGTGTATTATTTGTAAGTAAAAAGATAGTTGTTTATGAAAGAGTTGTGGTAGGGAATGCAATGAATGGGAGACCTGGTTGTTTGTTTTTAATTACTTATTACATTTGACTGTTGTCATCTCCCCTAGAAGATGATTCTGGGCAGCTTACAAGTAGTTGTTGACAGCTCAAAGCAGTTGGCAACATCATCCTTTCCCTGTGGCTCTTGATTACAAAATAAAAATTCCTTTCCTTCTTTTCCCTAAGGATTTAAGCTACCTGTATAGTTTTATATAACTGGGAATATCTTGCTATGAAGTTGTAAATCTAACTTTATTTACCTATTTGAGATACTTAGTTGAATGCCAACAATTGTAACAGTCTACATCAATCAGATTAATAGAGACGCATAGTCAATAAAACATCCCAGCCACAAACCAACAGTACATTATGGGTGAAAAAAACCTCAGATTTAATCTGCTGATAAATTATTCAGTGTAAGTAAGAGCCACACATACTCTTAGATGTTTTTCTGGAGGTCAAATTAATACCAGTAATTTTCTCTTGCATTATCGCATTGCTAATGCATTAGAAACTCTTCTTTCAATAATAACCTGTTAACTCATTCTGTTGTATTAGCAATAACACAACTGTTATCCTACACAAGGCCAACAAGCCAATCCATTCAGCAACCTTTGATTCATTTGAAAATTAATGATGACATTCTTCAATATGCATAGGAAAACATTACTAAAATCTAATTAGAAATATATAAGGAAAAAGTGGAGAGAGAGTTTGGTGTAGTGGTTTAAGACTAGAAACTGAAAGACTGTGAGTTTTAATCTCACTTCAGGTACAAATCTGGTTGACTAACTTTAGGTTAAAATTTCTTTCTCTCAGCCCTAGGAAGGAGGCAAAGGCAAACCACACCCCTCCCCTCCTAGAATGAACAGTGTCCAATCCCCTGCCTACATATGGGATGTAGTCCTCCAGGTAGGCGGGGCGTGCCGGCTTCCTACTGGACCTGTGCAGTTCACTTGTCTCCGGGATCTTGGCTGCAGCGATTGAGTCTACTGTTCCTCCAGCTGCCTGGGATGGAACCTTCTGGAGCTCCTTGGCCCGCGAGTCGAATTCCGTCCTGGTTCTTTCAGCTTCCGAGATCATCGTTTCCCGCTGGATGCCCTTGACCCCAGATAAGCGGTTGTGGCTCAGGTTGGTGTGTAGTTCCCCTGTTGGGCCACTGGGTAGGCTTGGTTCCCACTTGTCTGCTTCCTGGGCGGTGATTGAGAGTGTTCCTCAGGGCGGAGACCTCGGGTTCTGCGAGGATGGCTCTGGCCCTCCGGTTGTCATCCAGTCATCCTGCTTCCTCATCTCGGTGTCCCCCAGGCAGTGTCTGAGTTGGTTAATATGCCTCCTCTAGATTCGCCTATCCTCCAGCTCAATGCGGTATGACTTGGGGTTGATGACAGCCACGACTTGGCCCTCCAGCCAAGTCAGGTACCCCGCATAGTTGTGTGTGAATATCTGGTCCTATATGTTGAATGCCTGTGTGGGCTGTGCAGAGTCCAGAGGGGTCTCGGGAAAGTAGTCCGGGTGGTATCAGTCAAGTCGCAACCTCTGCCTTCTTCCCATCAGCAACTCCGCTGGGCTCTTGTTGGTGGTTGCATGGGGTGGTGGTGATGTGTTGAGAGAGGAGGAACTGGTTGACTTTTTCCTGCCAATTCCCTGGGCCCATTTGAGTGAGGATTTCCTTAGTTAGTCTCACCATCTGCTCAGCCTGCCCATTGCTTGCCGGGTGGAAAGGAGAGATGAGTATGTGCCAGATCCCTTGCTCTGTGAGGAATGCCTCCATGGTCTTGGCCATCCTGGTTATCAGAAACCAGGATGTCGGGCAGACCATAGGTGGTGAAGAGTCGTCAGAGGGCTCAGATAGTGGCTTCTGCCATGGTTGTCTGATGATTACTTCTAGCCATTTGGAGTATGCGCCCATGGCAATCAGGAATGCTTGTCCTTCTACTGGCCCTGCAAAGTCAATGTGTATGTGGGACCAGGGTCCCTTGGCTGCTTCCCACTCACGAGTGGGTACCCGTGGTGGTGCTGGTCGCGTCT